CCCTGGCTCTCTGGCAGGAAGCGGGCTGGCTGAGGGCTGCAAGCCCAGTACTTACCTGCGACTAGGCCAGTGACGCCGCATAGTTATGCTGGTCAGATGTGCCTTTTGTGGCCAGAGCCTGTACTGGCAACAAGGTGTTAGCTAAGACACTGCTAATTGAAGTCTTCCTTTTTCTTAGAAGAAGAATAAATAAACAAAGCTGCTGCATTGTTGCTGGTTTTGTGCGGTTTATTGTCAGTCAGGAAACCTTATCCTGGGAAAAACTTGTTGCATAGGAGCACAGGCCTTAATTACAGTGGCAATACTTGTATTCCGTGTGTTACCCTAATCAGAGTTGACCTAGCTCATGTAGTTGCTGTGAGCAGTCTCCCATTGCTTTGATTTACTGCGTGCTAAGTTGTGCGACACGCCGTCTCGTTCATCGGCTCTGTTGGAGTGAGGAAAGACAAATGGCAAATGCAAACGTTAAGATTTGGCTACAGGGAAGTGGTCAGAGGGTCCCTGGTTTGCAAAAACGTGTGGATTCCAGTGAAGGCTGAGGATGTGGTTTGGTCTTAGCTGCTGCTACTCACACAGTGAGCCTAAGACTCATGCTATTGCTTAAAATAAACTTGTCTTTAAAACCTACTTGTATTCTGCGGCCCACTTTAAATGCTCTCCTGAGAGAAGGAAGATTCTGCTGATAAAACATTTTTTTTCTGCTCTTCCCACAGGTAAACTTTAACGGTGCTTCCACTTTACAGTGTCAGAAACAGGAGGGACTTGTAATAAATGTGTGAGGTCCTCCAGTTTATTGCCTCTCTGTTTCTCTCTTTCTTTTTTTTTTTTTTTTTTTTAAAAAAAAGGCTTTTTTTGGGCCCTAAAACTCATAGCAAAGCAAATGCTGTTCTGGCAAAACTGCAAAATCTGCTCTCATTAGCTTTGGCATTTCCCCCCTCCTCTTTCTTTTCTGTCATCTGGGACAGAAGAGCATTACTGCAGTTAATTTGCCCTCTTTTGTAGTGGCATAAGTGCTATCCCTGGAACCAGCTCAGCTACCTAATGGCTTTTAGAAATAAAGTACTAAGGATGTATCTCTAATCTGTGGAGCTAAAAATTCAATATGTAAACTGCTTGGGTAGCCGAGTGCATTAATATCAGTACAAATGAACACTGCAAGTCCTAATGATAGCAATTAGTATTTTGTCTGATACCTGGGTCTGTCTTAATGCTCTGAGATTAAAACCAAATCCTCCAGTGGAGATTTTTCCCCAATGCGTTTCAGCATGCTCATAAGTCAGGCTTTTAAACTGCTTCTATAATAATCCTGTGTCTTGTGAAGCTTTTGTTGGGGGAAGGTTCTCTTAAGAAAATAAAACCAGCTTATCTACTCTCATATAATGGGAAGGGAAACCTTTATTTTTTTGATGTCTTCACGAATAAGCAGGTTATTGTCTTAGATGAAATTCTGTCCTGTAGATAGGCTTAAAATCAGGCCAGCTTGTTGTCTTTAGCACAGCTGGGGAAGCTGTAATAGCAGGAGTGAATGGATGCTATAATCCTGCAAAGTGGGAAGTGCATCCCTTCTTATTGCATGTGACACACATTTCTTTTGGCTGAGGTTGATTGGAAAAGAAAAACCGAAAACAACCCTGTTTTTTACTCTGTTATGAGCAGCTCCTTCAGGGCCTCAGGGGAAGGGATTCAGATGGCGTGGCTTGAACTTGGCAACGTGTTTATTACCCCTGCCTCCTCTCTGTAAAATGAGGAAGTGGTGTAGGGCCGCCGCAGTGAGGGTGCATCACGTGTTGTTGGGTGTACTGAGAACAGCACGTTCAAATGCAGCCTTCTAAATGTCCTCTAGTTTCTCTACGATTAAGTCAGTAATTCGGAAAGTAGAGACCTCTCAGATCTTGCTGGATGCTTTGGGGCAACGCGTGCTTTAAAAACACCGAGTGCGTAGTTAGCCAGGGAGCTGAGAAATTGTATTTTATTGCTAACTTGTCTTCCATGCCTGTTTTCACTCTTTTTCTTGTAATCCATCTTTTTAGTATCCTCCTAAATTGATCAATCTCGTCCTTCAAACTCCAGTACATATGAAATGACTGAAGAAGAAGAAAGTGAAAAATACAGGGCAAACTTTCCCTCGTCAAACTGTATTCTTTGTGGAGTGGTCTCAGATTGTTTTTTTTTAAAGCAAGAAAGGGAAAAATTCTTCAATAGCTTAGAATTAACATAAGGAGAATCTTCTCTTATCTGTTCAAAACTTGGACATACCATTGAGTTATCATATATCAGTGCTGGAATGCACGCTTCTAGCTTGGGGTAACCTTAAGGTAAAATATTTTATCTTGCATCATAGTAAGGGAAAAGTGAACAGAGGTACGTGTCCTTGTATATGCGATAGGCCAAGGGCAGAATTGTGGATGTTGCCCATTCATCTGTGATGTCTGTTATGCACCTGAACCTTTTTTGCTGGTAATTTGGCTGAGAAAATACCTTTGTGCAGTAGCACAGTGGGGTTACTGTGGTGTCCTGCATTGCAGATGTCCCATCTGCACTTTGCTTGGGATCATCTGAAGTTCAGAGTCGAGCAGCCTGAATTTACAGACCCGAGCAATGGTTTGATGGGCTCTCAGAAAAGAGAGGACAGAAAGGCTTTTCCGAGGGTTTGCTTATTATCCCTGGGATAGGATGCAAGATTTGCCACTGGTATTGGTTGAGTCTAGAAAAACTGACTAATTTTTTTGTCCTTCCCAGTGGAGAGCCAATGTGCTGCAGAATGCAGTGGTTTCAGGATGGAGCGTGTGATTTGACAACAAAATTTGCAGTTGGCTAAAGTCTTCTGTCCAGAGCTTTTTCCAAGAGTGACATCAGTCCCCTGCCAGATTAATTTATTTTAACTTGGCCATTGACTTAAGTGCCTGTTGTCTAGAAGGTCATGTTCCATTTTGATTTTGGGCTTACAGATTACAGTATCCTCCATTTTCCGGAAAAAAAGCACTTTCTAGTTGGTGGTGCAGCACGAGGATTTTCTTGCCATCAGCTGAGAACAGCTGTCGAGACACCAGCACATTACTGGCTCTGTTTCTGTCCAGTAAGTGGAGTTCCAAAACTGGATGATATCCTGGCATTAGTTCCTAGGCAATGAACCAAAGTCGCCGTTGCTCGTTAAACATGCCTTTCCAGGGATTTTTCAGAGAGACTGTGCAAACTTGATGAAACTTAAGTACCACCTCTGGTTAGTTGAAAAAGGTAGCTCTTCCCTTAAATTCTAGGGTCAAATCAGCTTTGTGGTGGCTGGATTGGAGGACTGGGCTTTAGCTAGGACACTGCCTGGTTGCAGTGGTTTGTGTGGCTGTCTTGTTTTCAAGGCTGAAGTAGCTGGTGTGTTGTGATATTGCCCTTTGCCAAGCAGATGGGTGCTAATTTCACTTCTCATAGCTGAGTGCTGCTCGTAATGAGGAGACCTGGTTTTGCCCAGTCCAGTCCGTGTCCTTCAGCCTGTGCTTTTAGGTGATATTAGTCCTCTGCGATGGGTTGATGCTGTTGTTTTGCTGGAATTTTTTAGCTTTCTGTTTAGGTTGCTTGAATGTTTTAAAACTCTCTTGCATTACATAAATTTTACTCCTTTTCCAAAATAGTGAATATTTATTGGTGGCGGTGTTTTTGTAAGGAATCTTGCCTTTTTCCATTGATTATTTGGAAGAACTTGGCTTTTTTTAGGCTGCTTGTAGCCTTTCCAGTTGTGTTGAAATGACGTTACCTCTAAATGTGACCTAAAAAAAAAAAAATTAAATTCTGCTTCTCTTGTTGACTTGACCCAGAAGTGAAATCTGTAAAGAGTGCTCAGAAGGGAAGTTTTAGCAGCTTTAAATGTAGTAGTTTATTTATATCTGTCTTTGCAAGCCGCTCTAAACCCACCAAGAGTACGACAGCATAGGTATCAAGAATGCGTTCCTTCCAAGGTTTATTAACAAATCTTTTGAAAGGCCCCATGTACTTTCTCTGTTGTCTAGAGGGTGAAGCTTTGTAGTGCTGGAGATCCCCCTCCAGAAAGCTCTCCAGCAAAACTGGGGAAAGCTAGGCCTGAAGGTGAGTTAAAAGGGGAGAAGAGTTGGGAAGAGTGCTCTGGGGGCGGCTGAATAAGCTTTACTGAAAAAGTAAAAGAAAAATGCACAAGCTTTTACCTTTAACATGCAACAAACTCCCCAGATACTTCTTTTTGGTCATAGGTCCAAACAAGGTGTGGTTACCTGGATTCTGCATATCTCTAGTGACCTTTTTCCAGAGAATTGAAGACCCCAGTTTTGGAGGAAAATGGCCTTTTTCCTTTGTGTACATCCATTTTTCCCCCCTCTGTTGTTCTGAGACTTTTGAAGAAAGTGTGCTTTGAAGATATTGATTAGGTACTTGGGCTCTGTCCTGACAGTAATTGCTAGTTTGACATTGTAATTGTTGCTGCATCAGCAGTTTGTCTCTTCCATTCTCCCTTTGTATGGAAAGTACTAATTAGATCTCAAACTTAAGGAATTGCTGAGTACTTGCATCTTCTTTAAAAAGCCAGCGCTGGGCACTTAATAGACCTGTTTTGGTGGTACCTGACAAATGGTGGCTCCTCTGATGGCTGTACTGTAGTGGTTCAGTCTTCACTGGCCACTCGATAATTCTTTGGAAAAAATAATGAGATTAACACAACTGCTTCTCTTGTGCCATGGTAAGATCTGGTGATGAGTCTTGGGACTGTGAAGCTTGCACATCTTACTTGTCCGCCCTTGGCCCTTCTCTCTGAATATTTGAAATCTCTCAAGATGTATGTTTTTATTGGTAGCTCTTGACTGGCAGTGAATGATAGCTGTCTCCTACCTATTCTGTTTACAAGAATTAAGGAAAGAATGGGGTCTGCGTACTGAAAGGCACCTTTTTGATAGACAGTAGTCTCACAGACTTTTTGATGACCTGTTTGTGTGCATTTGAACTTTTCTTAATATCATTCTCATTTTCCTTTGCACAGGATGCCGTTACTCCCTACAAGGAAATCCTCCAGATGTATTGGGAGAAAGCAACAGGCTTTGTGAATGCCCAGTGCGATGGACTTGAACCTTGGCAACTGGTTGGGTTGACGTTTTCTTCTACGCTTATAAGCGTATGGCTGCATGGCTTCCTCTTCCAGTCCGAAAGTAAGTATTTGAGATGGCCAAATTTTCTGATGTTTGGGGGAAAGGGAGGGAGGACAAGGTTGTTTCTAAGTAGTGGAAGGAAAGAGCATGAAACAAGGCCAAGCACTTGCTAAAACAGACTTTCTGCTGTGAACTAACACTGACAAAACCCTCTCCCAAATTAAGGTAAAGGCCTGTCTGATCAATGGAATGCCCCCATTCCTTCAGAGGATGTGGTAGGCCAGCTGTGAATGTGCCTGCATCCCCTTCCTCTCGTCTCCTTTTGGCTAAACCATTTACTTGTTGCAACACCCTGTTCTTGCTCGGAACCTGGGGAAATTTATCGAAGAGCTGGGTTCTTGTGAACTTAGTCACTGCTGCAAAGTGTCTGGATAACTCTTGCTGTTGATTGTTTCCCTTCCTGCTGGGGTAAGAGACGTGGTTGTGATTGGGTGTTGGAGGCATGTTTCATCCTCAGGATGTTCAAGATAATTGCATGTGGTATTGTTGTGTGGATTTTGGTTTTTTTTTGAAGCATCTTTGTGTTTTGAGTGCTTTCTGATATGGACGGCTCTTCAGTGAGCTCTTGATGGGCCTGCAGCTTTGTCTGGTGATGGTTGGAGATAACTACCTTGCCCTCAGAGGAGAACATGGTGCTTTGCAGTTCCCACAGGCCTTAGGGTTACACTTCAGTGACAGTTTGTTAAAAATAGCTGAGTGTTTAACTTGATGTTTACTTCTGAGCCTTTCTGTTCCTCAACCGGTCTTTTTTCTTTTGAAAGATGGAAGTAGCTGAATAGTGGAAATGTCTCTGGAAGGAACAAAATGGTATGAAGCTTTTGCTCAGCACAGGGTTATGTTAGCTTCTTGGCTAGTATTTGTACTGTTGCACAGTATTTTTTCTTTTTTTTTGAAGTACTGACTGACTGTTGTAAGATCTGATTAAATTGTCTGAATTTTTCAGGAATTTGCAGTCTTCTCTCACTGTGGAAGTTCTTAATGAAACAGTGTGCACACTGACGTGTGCAATAGAAATGTTATTGTCAGTGTGTTAATGAGTATTTGCTGCAGAATGTGCCAAACCACAATTACTGTCCTTCTGTAGCTTTTCAAAATATATGTGGAATGGTGGGGAAAATGCAGATAAAATTGCAAGGTCCTAAAATGATTGATTTTTAAAGTTTGTTTAGTTATTTCTTGGTGTAAATGTCCTGTAACTGTTGGTCCTCAGTCGAAATGCCTGTAGGACTCAAAGGGCATTTTTGGTGGCTATAACGCATCTGTGTCATCCTGCTTTCATTCCTGCCTTTAGAGCTACCCTGGGAGTTTTCCGGTGTTTGTCATCAGTGGCTTCTCTCATTTCAGTATTTGGACTGTGGTGGAATTTCTGCTCTTCCCTCTGTTCTTCCCCTGGGTCGCCTCCCGTTGCATCATGCGTTTGCTATATCAGATGGCCAGACACTGGGTGAAGCTTTGCCACGTTACAAGTTACGGCTGAACTACCATTTCCTCCTTTGGTCTGGGAGCCTGTTTCATGCTTCTGCCATTCTGGTTTGAAGATGCAGAAAATAATTACAAGAAGTGTTTTCCCTTTTTGCTGGAGACCTTGCCTTTAGCAATGCCGAGAGTCTGTCTCTTCTCTGTAAAATTCCACACATAGGAGCAAATTCCTGTATAAGTAAGAAAACAAGTCAAAGTATGGATTCCCATAGATGTCTACTGTTCTGCAAGCCAGATGTTTCTGTAGCCTGGTCTGTTTCTGAACCTTGCTCTTTGATATGCTACTCTGACTCACCATGTGCCCTCGGTCACTGTCTTATGTTAGCCTGCATCAGAAATACTGAGCCTATATCATAGACTGTATCGGAAGTATTGTGCTCCGAGTCCATGTTTTTGTTCCTTGAGTTATCTTAGGTTAATTTCTGACTTTTGTCTTTCAGGTTTAACATCTCGAACTAAAAAACAGTTCTTTAAACTACTGAGAAAAATGCCATTTGTTGGGGCTATAGTAAGTATTTGAACAACTTTTCTTGATGTTATCCCAGCTCCTGGTTTCAGCCTGCACAGCTTTCTTGGAGGACTTAGTTCTGTGCATGTTTGCTGTCATGTTACTGTGATCATAGTGATCCAAGGATGTAGGTCTGAAAGGTCTTCTGCTGCCACCTGGTTCAGCAAAAGTTGTAACTTTTACCTAGTCTTTTTGTCATAGTATCACTCTCATAAAATGGGGGTACCTGTTTTTTTTTTAAACCAAGAATCAGTAATTGCAGTTATAGAATTTTTCAGTAACATTTCCTCCTTGTTATATTTTAAGAAAATAATTTTATTTATGGAAGAAGGGGACAGGATTGAACTTGAGTTGTTCTTCTGAAATAGAGTCTTATTCTTGAGCAAGTGTGAGATAGCCAGGAGTTTGCTGTACAAAACGGAAAGGTAATTTTTTAAATCAGATTGCTGGCCACAATTAGTTTAGAGCTCAGATACCTGTTAGTAATAGTTAGCATTATAGCACAAAGATATCAGAAGTTTGTATAATCATTAAAATGAGACAAGCATTAGTGTTCGGGAGATTTTTTTTTTTTTGGCCTAAAAACTTGAAACTACAAATGTCAGCATGTTTTAGCATGTTAATGACTTAATGATCAAGAAATGCATAGCTTGGTTTATTTTACTTAGTAAACGGTGGCATCACACTTGATGATTGCCCTTGTTTCTGCTTGATGTGTTGGCAGATTTACACGTTGATTCAGGGGGTCAGGTCTGTTATAGGCAATTTTATCAAATGAAAACAGCAAAGAGGAACTTTTTCCTTTTGCCGTGGACATGGAAGCGGTTCTCAGGTTTCTCCCCCAGACCTCTGGAAGGGACTAGCATCTCCTGCTTTATGTCATGTTAAGTGCCCCAGCTTTCACCTTCTGACTTGAGCAGCCTTTGATGAGATGAATTAATGAATTGTTCTCTTCTGCTTATACTTGTTGTCTGCCTGTTCGACAAGGACACCTTCTGGGCCCCATGTATACAATCCCTATTTTGTCCAGACTTATCTTTCTGGGGCTAGCGCTGTGAAGCTCTCCTGTGCCAGAGAACTCCTGGTGTGTCCTGTCTGTGTACTGAGTCCGCTCTTTGGTAGGCTGATACCTGATAACCTATCAGTTGCTTACAGGAGGCCATAACTTTGAGGCATTCCAATGTCCAAAAGTCTTTAGAGCTGATGATATCCCAACACCTGTGTTGCCTGGAAGAAGAATCTCAACTTTGCAATGTGTTGTGAGAAGTCTGGGCCTCCTGAATGTAAAGTGTGGGTGGGAGGAAAGAAATCTCCTAACTGTGTCTGTAATGGAGATTTCTTTATTGTTTCTCTGTGTTTTCATGAGTTTCTAAACTGTGTGTATGGACAAGGCACAAAATAGAATGCATGTGAAGACTTCTACAAATTAAAAGCTGTGACTTAAAAAGGTTTGGTGGATAAAAATGCAGTATTTTTGCCTTGAGCTTTGTTTTCTCAAGCATTAAGGAAGATGCTCCAAGCTCCCACTGCTCTTCGGTACCCAGTAAAGCATGTACTCTTTCTGAATGTTGTGGTGGTGGTGTCTGTGCTGTGAAACGAATCACAGCCAAGCAGTGGCCCAAGTGCCACTCTGCAGTTACCCATACTGGTTGCTTGGCACAGTTCTGGGCTCTGTCAGCTACCATTCCCACAGGCAATTCCCAGTGTAGTTTAGAGACTAATGCATGCCAGTTCACTCTTCCAGGCAGCTTGTGTTTGGAGGGAGAGTGTGGTAGGAAGGAAGAGTTGAGCTGTGTGGCTGTCAACTCTGCTATGCATTTTGGTCATGGAACTGAAATGGTTCCTATCTATTTTGCTGAATAGTATGGATGTAGCTAGTGAGTTCAGTCTTGTGTGCACTCAATTATTTATAGTTTGGCAAGCGCTATTGTTGAGAGGGTTTTCCTTTCTTTTTAGATTCAGAAGAAGATTGATGAAGCCTTGAATGATGTCACTTCCAGCTTATCCTTTCTGAAAGATGAAAAGGATTATATCAAAGTGCTGCCGGAACAAGGCATGAGCCAGCCTGAAGTACTAGAGAAGATGAAAGAGTACAGCTCGAAAGGTATGAATGTGAGTCTGTACTGCAGCAGAGGTGGGTCTGTTTCATGGACCTAACATTAGACTTAGTCTCTTAAATGAGATCTAATGATTCCTGCTCGTGATTTCATCTTAAATATTTCTTCCCTGATGTTCTTTGCTTGCAAATTTTTGCCTGTTTTCCTTCTGGAAGTGACTAAGATCAGTATTTGTGACTTCTAATACTGTATTTGGGTATTTACAGCAAAATTCCATTCCTTCCCCAAGAGTTCTAGGCTGATGATGGGAGAGCTGAGGAGAAATATGGAGGAAATTACCTAAATGCATTTTTGATTACACTTCTGAGCAGTTGCCTTGATGTTTGACTTCTACCAAAAATGTGTTTTCTGTGAAGCCCCAGGGGATACTCATAACAAAAAAACCTGACAACTTCTGAACAGGATTTTTAGGGTATTTCCAAGGCTATCTCTCTTAATCAAAGTCATGATGGTTTGCACCTTGAAAAATGCCATTTAAGGAAGGCAAGGTTATGGTGTTCTGCTGGCTTGAGTCCCCATGAGCAGTGTCTGAAACTTAATTTGAGTTGCCTCACTCATGTAAATACCTTCACCCTGATTTGTGTACCTATTACTCCTAATAAGCAAGTTTGGGTGACTTGCTGTCCAGAGGAGAAGACATGACTGCCCTACTCCTATCCCAATAACTTCCTTCTTTTCTACTTTTACGTATTGCTTATGTAGCTTGTCTGTTTTCCCTCAAATGATTATTTCCTTCCTTCACCGGGTTCTTCTGTCTCTTTTTCTTTTCCTGTGGCCCCCTCCTTCCACACACCTGCACTCCCCTTTGAAAGCTGCTTGGAAATGTGGATTGGATTGTGACTATGTTCATCTTCTATATGCCTGTGGATCTGATGCCATTGAGGTTTATGAAGAAGGCTAACAGGAGAGGGAGCAAATAACCAGACAAGTGGAAATACACTGCTAGGGTGTTTGGAGGCAAAAAGTGACTTAGTTAAGTACCATGACGTTGAGCAGTGGGTTGAAACACTTTTCAATAGTGTGCTGCTGATGCTGTTCCGTCCAGCTCCTCTCGTTTGTTAAAGCTTCAGCGGCGTATCGTTTTAGGTGAAATTTAATTGAGGCACCCGCACTGTAGGTTTTAACAAAACAAGCTTGGCCTTTCCATCTCTTCTCAGCTTACAGTGGTGATGGATGCTCTTTGAAAGTGGCTTTAACTTTAGCCACTTTAGAGTTCAGTTGGATGGACAGCAGTTTGGGGAGGGGATTAAGTGGATTACATATTAATATAACTGCTTGCTGCAGCTAGATGTTGTTTATGTGCTGACTCTTCAGTCATCATTTACTTGCAGTTTGCTAAGTTCATGGGACACATGATGCCAAAGGCTTAGCGTCGCACACAGCTATCTCTGTGGCACAAAAATCATACTTGCTCCTCATCAGTGAAATCTCAAAAGCTGAATCCTCATCTGCAGAACTGGTGGGAGGACTTCCCTGTGCCCTTCTACATGCATTCTGAGAATGGCTGTGTTTGCAAGCAGTGTGCTCTCCCTTCTGTTTCAGGAGATGTACGTTGGCAGGATGGGAAGGTCTCTGGGACTGTGTACAGTGGTGAAGAGAAACTCACCCATCTGCTAGTGAAGGTAAAGTGCAAGCAGTCTAACTTTGCAGATATCATTAGCATCTTTAGGGTGACCAGAAACCTGTCAACACTGTTCCGGCATATCTCAAAATAAATAGGATATCATCTGAAACTAAGACTGCTCAACTGTGAAGACATAGCCTAGGGTGAATGTAGGTGGAAGGGGAATTGCTAGCAAAGCACTTGGGCAGTGTAAAGCTGACCAAGAGACTACGCCATGTAGAGGCAGCTAGAATCCAGTCAGACAAAACGTTGTTTTGAGTAAGAAAGTAAGAAGCTGGTTACAAGTGAACTGGAAACTGGTACTGACCATGTAATTGAGGGAATGTGGTAGGAGGCATACAGTTGCCATGGATGAGCTTTAGCAAACCCTCTGACAGATGTGCCTTTGCATGCTGGAGTGAAAGCATCCTTGGCTTTCCTGTTACTGGGAGGCTGCGGGACTTTGTACTGGAACAGCTTCACTGAGCAAAACTGAATTCCTCTTGGTTTAAGCAAAAAACAAGTTTGTAAAATGTTTTTGGGTAGTCCAAATCTTACAACAATGGAGCACTGGCATGCTTCAGTGGCGTCTTTGTTAGGTCTGTTTACCTACTCAGGAATTTTTCCCTGTGAAAGGGTTGGAAAATAACCTAAACAGCTTTTCAAATATATGTACTTCAAGAGGGTTTTTTTGCTAGAAAAGGAAGTCTAACCTTCTTGCTCCTGGGAACAGCTTTTATAACAGCTGTAACAAGCTCTGTTTGGTGGTTGCTACTGGTGTTTTCTTCTGCTCATTGACATTTTCTTTGCCACTTCTGGGGAAACATAAAGCTCAGGGCAGCCTTTCTAGAGGGGCCTCAGCTTGGATTGAGGGTTATGGAAACATTCCCTCTGTTTGTGCTGATTACTCGCTGTTTTTTCTGCTGTATAGCTTTTAACGTCCCTGCAGTTGCTTTTTGATCTCAGCTGCAGGAGGTCAGAACTGGCCTGTTCCAGCCTAATGCTGTGAGCCCGCAGCTGTGGAACAAGCATGAAATACTGGTTTCCACAGCCACTTTTGTTGCAGAGTGGGTGGGCAGTTGTGCTTTTCTAGCTGCTTCAGAATTCCCCTTTAACATCAAACTTGAAAACTAGTTCTGCAAAGTAAGTTTTTTGGCCTGCATTGTTTAAAGCTTTTGTAGGGTGCATATTGTGTTCTTTTTTTAAAAATAGCTAAACAATTCAACCTGTCTTTACAAAAAGAAATATTGTGATGTTGTAGAGTCATTCCAGAGGCCAGAATGCCCTAGAAAAGCAAGGGAGGTTTTTTTTTCCCTCCTCTGCTGTAGCTTCCCAGCTTGTGATATTTACTTGCAGTAGGAGTTAGATTCAAGGAGATCTGCAGTATTGTCTATGGCTAAATGCAGCTAATTTGCTTATACAGTCTGTGTGGTGAATTCCCAAATCTGCACTGGTAATTCAGTACTTCATTTGCAAGGCTAACTTTCTGTCTTTGTTTTCGAAGGTGTATGAAGAGTTTGCCTGGAGTAATCCTCTCCATCCAGATATATTCCCTGGTTTGAGGAAGATGGAAGCAGAAGTAGTAAGGATTGCCTGTACGCTCTTCAACGGGGGCCCCAGCTCTTGTGGTGCTGTAAGTAGCCTGTTGTCAGGTGTCCCTTGAACATTTTGGATATTTCTGGCTGACGTAAGTGTAAATGCACCTTCTGCTCTTCAGCTGAGGCTGAGGTGAGGCTCATTCTGGTATATGCCATGCCAACATAGCTGTACAGAAGACGGTTGCTAATTGCTCTGCTTGGTGAAGCTTTATGAGAGACAGTTTAACTCAGGGAAGTAGTTCTTTAGACAAGACCATTTACTTCAGCTTTTCTTTTTTTTTTTACACTCTAAATGATACACTCTTGATGACAGTTGGAAAAGGGAACCAGTGCAATGTAGCCTGACTGGCTGTCATTGGGGGATGGCAAGCAGAGCAGTGTCACTTTGAGTAGCTCCCCTCAGTTTTACTCTCTGCACTAGAAGTCTGTGAGCCTGCCAGAATGCTAAGATTGAGGGCAAGGCTGGCTGGCTGGTTACCAACAAGCAGCTTGAAGTATTGGTGATCAAGCAGGCATGGCATGTATTGTCATCTGTCCAGCTGAAAAGCTGTCTTTCCAGGCTTATGTGGCCTTCCAGTGTGCTGAAGTGGAAACCAGTTTTGAAGCCTTGATGGAGTTCCTAGCAAGAGTCCAGATGTGTGTCCTTAGATGATGATTCAAAGCTGGTGAAAGAGCAAAAGTTGTGAACTTGCATGATAAATTATTCTTATAAAAATAGGCTGTGTTTTTTTTTACACTCCTCTTACCTTTTTAGTAAGGATCCTGAATTCCTTAGGCCAAATTCGCTCCTTGTTTACATAGTGCACGGGACAGTGAGATCTTATCTCCTAGCATAGTGGTCAGGTGCAGCTGTGATACAAACAAGCTGCTTAATAACTTGCAAAGAAGTAGTTGCATTTGTGAGAAGAATTCAGATGAGATTTTTCAGAGACGGGGCGTGAGGTGATTGCTGTCTATAAATATGCTAGGGAAGGAGAAGGCCAGAAACAGCTGTAGATCAATATGGAAAGCTGGTGTTGACACAAGAGCTTATGAGGTGAACTGGCCTTGAATGGCCTTAATCTGACAGTTCGAGGCTTGGTTGTGTTAAGGAGTTAAGTACTGGAGTAGCCTTATAGTGGGTGTAGTTGGGACCAAATTCCAACTGGATTAAAAATGTAACTTCACCGTGCCGTGTCTGGGAGTATGACGTGATTGCCTTTGATAGCAGGAGGTTGCACCCTGTGACCTGACGTGTCTTCTCGGGACTGTATTCCTTGTGCCATCTTCAATTGTAGAGAAGGAATGTGCCTCTGCTTATAAAAGCATTTAACCTCACCTCATCTCCCTCCTGGTTTGTTGTGCTGAGAACACTGCTGAGATTATCCTTGGAGTGGGGAAGAGGCTGGATTTAAAGCTGTTGAAACTCATCTTTATCAATAGTTGAGATGTCAGTTGATACAACAGTCAGATAGCTTTGTGACACTGTATTCTTGGAGAACTTTACTTGCTGAAGTTTGCAATGCATGTGTTCCGTTTTTGTTACATAAAGCGTGTGTTGTAAAAGTATCAACCTTGGCCCTGTGTGCTGTTTCACTGAAATTTAGAAGTAGTATTGCCTAAGAGGAGAGGTTCAAAACAGGTGAAAACCTGCTCCAAAACAATCAGACAGTGATCATGGCCAATGTGAGACCTCCACAGATGCTCTCTGGGGCATCTTGCTTTTGCCTCTGCTCCTATCTTCTTCCCCTCCTTTCCAAGGACTGTGCTGCAGAGCCCCAGCTGAGATTCCAAGCAAAGCAAATGCGGAAGCCTGCAGCCTGCTGTGGAGTTACATTCTGGCTGGCTGAACAGTCAAATTTGCAGGGTGAGAGATAGGGCTGAAAAGTTGATTGGCCAGGAACAGAAGATTAATTGCATCCCTGTAATTATCTTGTCCAAATGAGTCTCTGCAGTGGACTTTTTGTCTTCCTCCCACGTTGCCCTTCCTGACTGTGAAGAGTGTCCAGAGTTGCTAATCAATGATGGAGAGCTGTGGGTGGATATATGGAGGGTACATGCTCTGTAAGTAGTTGGTCTCAAAGATTTCTTATTTTCTTCTCCCCAAAACAGAACTAACATTTCGGAATTATTTCTGGAGGCTTGGACAGTTACAAAGCTATTTAAAAGAGTATTTTTTCAAACTGATGTTATGCTTTCTGTCACTGGAAGGCTCTGCTGTAGCTGGTCGCTCAGACTGCTGCAGTTACACTTCAGTAACCGGTGAGGCTGTAAAACAGTGAGATGGCTAAACCAGGGAGTGTGCAATGCTGTGAGTTACCTTTATCTTTAAATTGATCTGTTCAGGAGGTGCTGCTGACTTTATCTACTGAGAAGGCTTCTGGTTTACTCAGTTCAACTTTTGCAGCATTGAAAAATAAAACAATTGCTTTCTTTTTTTCTGAATTTCATCACTGCAATTTCTGTGAAGCAGTGTGTCTTGGTGCCAGATCCCTGTCTGTTGGATTTACTAACCGGATTTAAGCAGATGGGACTGCTTGTCCAGTTTTGTTGGTCCCTGGTGATGGTCGCTGAAGGCAGATCGAGCTTGTTGGTGTTTCTGAAAAGTGTATCTGTGGCTATGCTACGTGGAAAAAACCCCAAAAGTTTCTGTCTGTCCTTCTCAGTGAGGCAATTTCACTTTCTTTGTGCTCTGATTTCCACAGCACGTTGCAGAACAGTGCTTTATGGAACTAATACTGTGCTGCTCAGTCTGAAAAAAGCAGCACGGTGTCACATTTGTGCTGTTCCCAGGGCTTTCATCAGCCTGGGGAAATGTGTGCGGTCCTGCCCTGTGTCATGTGGACATCTTCCTAAGCAGGATCTCTGGAGAGCAGTCCCCTGCTTCCTCTTTGAAGGTTTTCAGTGTGTTTAATAAGTGCTAAAATGAAACATGTCTCTTTAGATTTCTGAACGTTAAATCAGATGAGCAGCTTACATTATGTATGGGAGTTGCCTTTATTTGAAACATGGGGGTTATAATTCTCCTTGGTTTAAACATGGGCATAAAACCACTAACAGTGCCCCTGTGGTGGGGGGTGCGCAGGCATGCCTGTTGCCTTAAATTGCACTGAGAGATGTTCCAGGTTTTTAAGCAGTTTTTAAAAGTAATCATTTTCAGCAGCTGATGGATGCTTCCTATTTCTCACTAATCACTACTTTTGTTCTTAGTTTTAATCGCGTTATGCAAGAGCAAAGAGACAGGAATTGGTGATTTTTGGCTCCCAGGAGATTCTAATCACATTCTTGCAACAATTTGGAAGGACTAATTAAGCTCAGCATGTAGGGGAGGAATGGGGGGGTTGTTCTTGTCTGATGTGTGCATATGTGCCTGTTCACAAGGTGCTTTGTTTTGCAGTGCTGGCTCTGTGGATTTCCCCTCTAATTTGGGGGGAAATCACCACTTTATGCAAGCTTCAATGATTTTTTTTTTCAGTAGTTTTTTGAACTTTAAAAAGAAAGGGCAGCTTTGAAGTGCAGGGGAAAATTGTGTGGGGATGTGCATGTGTGTATTTGATGTCAGTCTCTTTATGAATTCTTTCCACTTACTCTGCCGCTGAGGACAGGAGAGAGAGGCAAAATCAGCAGATGCAAACCTAAGCCTCCTGTAGAAGCTGGCTTGTCTCTTCCTTCCAAATTCTGGGTCTTCCAAACTTTGTCATAGAGCTGGCTGCTTGTGTGAAGCAGGACTTTAACAGTGAAATGTGAGTCGTGTGTCTTGGGGGGGCTTGAACTCTGCAGATTTGTCAGGTTTTATCGGTAGTGGTGAGTAGATCACCATGAGAGACACAACAGGTGGAATTTACAACCTGCAGATTTACAAGGGTTTTATGTGAGTCTGCCACTATGTTATGACCATACAGTGCATTGTGGCATATTTTTACTCTAATGTACCTCAGAAATAAATTGTAGTTTGCTTGCTTTTCCTCACAGGGAAGCTCAGGAAGTGTGGGCTGTATGATTGGACAGTGAGGTGGATTGAGAACTGGCTGAATGTCAGAGCTCAGAGGGTTGTCATCAGCGGCGCAGAGTCTAGTTAGAGGCCTGCAGGTAGTGGTGTTCCCCAGGGGTCAATATTCATCCCAGTCTTGTTCAACTTACTCAGCAGTGACCTGGATGAAGAGATAAGGTTGTACCCTCAGCAAGTTTACTGATGACACCAAACTGGGAGGAGTTGCTGATATGCAGGCAGGCTGTGCTGCCATTCAGCGTGACCTGGACAGGCTGGAGAGTTGGGCAGAGAGGAACCTGATGAAGTTCAACAAGGGCAAGTGCAGGGGCCTGCACCTGGGGAGGAACAACGCCATGCATCAGTACAGGCTTGGGGTGGACCTGCTGGAGAGCAGCTCTGTGGAGAGGGATGTGGGAGTGCTGGTGGGTGACGGGTTAACCATGAGCCAGCAGTGTGCCCTGGCTGCCAAGAAAGCCAATGGGATCCTGGGGTGCATCAAGAAGAGTGTGGCCAGCAGGACAAGGGAGGTTCTACTCCCCCTCTACACTGCTCTAGTGAGGCCCCTTCTGGAGTACTGTGTCTAAGGCGACACTGCTTTGGCAGGGGTTTCAGACTAGACGATCCCCAGAGGTCCCTTCCAACCCCGACCATTCCGTTATTATCACAGAATCACAGAATAGTAGGGGTTGGAAGGGACCTCTGTGGGTCACCTTCTGTGATTCTTATTCATGGCATAGTTCAGCTCTGGGAAACTTCTGGTCAGCTTTGTCGCCAGGGTCTGAGTGGACGTGTTCCCTAAGGTAAAAATGTAAGCAAAACTTTACAGACCACGAACCAAAGTGGTTCTTTTATGTCTAACAGTTTGACATTGACATGCAAGTGGCATGGCCAAAGAAATCCTAGAATAAGGACCATACCTCTTATTGCTGTTTTAATGTTGAGGTTCTAGAGCACTGGGATTTGGAGGGAGGGTGCAACAGAAGGAATATGCTGAGTTTAGAAAGCAGGATGGATATTGTTTTCCCTGTGCTTTCTCCTCTCCCCTCCCATTTGGAAAATAATTAATAAATCAAGAACAAAACAGTCTGTTTGCTTGCCTTATTCCACACTCTTTGCCTGGCTTTTGAAGATAGCGCTGGGTTGGAAATCTGCTGAAAACAATGTCTGTTTCCAGCCCCTTTTCCCCATGGCATCGCTTGAGCCTGTGGACTTTCATTTAGAGGAGAGAAAAAAGTATTTGTGCGAGCCGTTTGTGGGTGCTGAATCACTGCATGTTGGCCTGCTGCCAGCGTGCCGCAGGCAGTGGGGAAGTTGTATCCTGTGACAGTGATTCAGGCCCTGGCTATGGCAGAATGAGTTTGCTGATGAGATAGCTAAGCTGACAGAGGCTTCTGTAAAGGAGCAGACCGCCTCCGCAAGTGTGGACTGCATGGATGAAGAGGGTTTGGCTGTGGTAGCTGTGCCACGCTGAAGCAGCTGCTGTAGATCAAGCTGCTCTGGCCCATCTCTGTGGTGTATGCTTGTGTTGGTACTGATGTGCTGACTGTGGGACGATTTAGGAAGCTGAAATTCAGCTTTTTAGGTAGATTTTCAGCTGCCTTAACAAGGTTTCTGTGTGGTCATCTGCATGCCAGCCTTAGTGCCTGGGAGGAGGATCCGTCCTGGATGCTGTTCCTTAACCTGCACCTGACCAACTGCTGACAAGTGTTGACTCTGACCTCCCCAAAACTATGTGTGGCTAGGTATTTCCATTAGGTGATAAGCCAGACTTTGAAGAAATGTTTGTCATATGTAAAGGGCAAGATGTTGGTGCTTTGGTGGAAAGATCAAAATGAGAATGAGACTGTACAGAGGCTGCTCTTTAAAGAGCAGATTATCTAGATGAGAGTAGAGGTAGGGACCCCTTGCTCGACAAAGAGCAGGCCTGGTGGCACAAAGTGTCTGGTATTCAGTAACCTGAATCCCAAGATCCCCACATCATGCCTGGCAAAATTTTCACAATTGTTGCAGTATTGTAAGAGATGTTGCAAGCAGTGTTACAAGTACACAATAATCCCATTCCTCTTCTCCCACCCAGCAGTAGGAAGGCAATCCATGTTACACCAGCTGTTTTTTTTTCCCCAAAGGTAATAGCTGACAACTTCACAGATCTTTTCATAAGAAGGGTTGAGAAGTGAATGACACAGCCCATAAAATGTTTAGGACATTACGTTCCTGCTATCATCTGTTTGCTTCACTAAAAATACATTTTTTTCTTTATCCAATGTGAGGCTCTGTTAGGGTTTATCTGTGGCAGCTGTTGCTTTTAAACTACCAAGAAAGCAGAAATTGTCTGTGGTGCGACAGTCACTTCCACACTGCCTGTGGTGGCAGCTGCTGCTAGCTTGGATCATGTTAGGAACAAATGTGGCAGGCTGATTTATGTGCCTGTGAACTTTGTTCCTTATCTCTGTACTTAATGTTTAGTCATTGTCACGCAGTCACACCACTTCTTTGCGTTTTGGGGGTTTGCAGCTATGTCAGCTGCAAAAAACCAAATGAAAACCCAGACTAGCAGATGTCATGAGGCATGCAAATGTGATTGCATCCTTTTTATGTTTATTTTTTGGGGGGAAGTGGTTAAAAGGGGAAGTTGCAATTGATTCATCAGATCTGAGGATCAAAATTAGCCCTCCATAAGTGCTCCAAGTAGCTTTTCATTCCTCTCTTTCACCTGCAGTTCTGTATACCTGTCCCAGGTACCAGCCATCCTCAAGTTATGGCTCACTCAGCATAGCAGTCAGTCAGTCCTGCAGGCTGCTTGAAAAAACCACCTCACATTTTACTAGGTTAAAATTTTACTTTGAAAGGTTTGTGCCCACACACTTTTGTGTCCCCTTCATGTCAGAACTCATAAAGGCTGGCCAACAAGAGACGGTCCTCCCGCTTGAGGAATTTCTTCATGTAAAGAGTTTCATTTATTTGTTCACAAGAGCTCTTGAGTTCTGGCATGCAATAGTAAACTTCATTGAACAGCTTGTGTGTGTATCTTCCCCTCTTCCACCTCCTGATGCAAACGCCCGTGTTTTGCTGTGGTCAGGGTAAAGAGAGCTGGGGCAGTATGGGTAGTGGGTTGTGTGGATACCGAGGGACTTACTGGGGAGGGTAATGCAGAAATTCCTACTGGTGTAAAATTTCTTGAGTCTTTGAGGACTTACAACCTCTGGCCTGGTGTTGACCAGGCCTAGGCTGGCCTCTGCAGAGAGAAGGTGGGAGAGGGCTCTGCGCTTTGCAGTGCTGCAGGTTCTGGGAAGGTTTTGTAGCTCAGGAGCAGTGCCAACCCTGAGCTGGCTCTGTGCCTCAGTGTGGCACTATTCCAGACCTAATAAATCCTGCTGGACTTCAGTTAATACAGAATCAACTTTGTTGTTTCCGTATATGTGGCATAATTAATCGGTAGTCCAGACATACAATCCCTGGCTAATCAAGAGCTAAGTATGTAGTAGTAGTAGTTTCATGAGGTGTGGTCATGTTTGCCAGCTAGTGACCTTGCAGTATGGTCCCCTCTCGTCAGACTTTTAAGTTGGATATTTTTTTGTTTTCCCTTTCCCCCTCCTCCTTTAAATAGAGTCAATATTTATTTAAATGTGCACTTTCAAGCTGGATGTCAGAAAGCTACCTTGAGCTGTTCAGTGGCTTCTGCAGCCCTTGAAAACCTGAGCTGGTCCTGTGTGTCTCTTGCCTCTGAAACATCTCTGGGCAGAGATGCTGTGGCAGCATCCCTTTTTTTCTTTTCTTTTCTACAACATCCATGTAAGCAGTTGTTTTTCTTGTTTGCTTCTTTTCTTCACAACAGATGACATCTGGAGGGACTGAGAGCATTCTGATGGCCTGCAAGGCGTACCGGGACCTGGCTTACGAGAGAGGCATCAAGCAGCCAGAAATGTGAGCAATACCTCCGTGGCTTGGGTTTTGCATTGGGAGCTTGTGGAACTTATCGTTCCTTTGAGTGGAGGTGGCTGCTAGACCCCAATATTCCTTAATTTCATAGCTCATTAGCACTTCCCCCTTGTCCATCTGTGCCTGAAGGAGAGTGGTGCAGTCAACACGCCTGAGGGAAGGGATTCCATCCAGAGGGACCTGGATAAGCTTGAGAAGTGGGCCTGTGTGAACCTCATGAGGTTCAACAAGGCCATGTGCAAGGTCCTGCACCTGGGTCGGGGCAAACCCTGGTCTCAATACAGGCGGGGAATGAAGGCATTGAGAGCAGCCCTGAGGAGAAGGACTTGGGGGTACTGGTGGGTGAAAAGCTGGACGTGAGCTGGCAATGTGCGCTCGCAGGCCAGAATGCCAACCGTATCCTGGGCTGCATCAAAAGCAGCGTGGCCAGCAGGGGGAGGGAGGGGACTAGGGAGCCGTCAGCACAGGACAGACATGGACCTGTTGGAGTGGGTCCAGAGGAGGCCACAAAAATGGTCAGAGGGCTGAAACACCTCTTCTAGGATGAAAGGCTGAGAGAGTTGGGCCTGGTCAGCCTGGAGAAAAGAAGGCTCTAGGGAGACCTGATTGCAGCCTTTCAGTACCTAAAAGGGGCTTATAAGAAAGATGGGGACAGGGTTTTTAGCAGGGCCTGTTGTGACAGGACAAGAGGTAATGGTTTTAGTCTAAAAGAGGGTAGATTTAGACTGGATATAAGGAGGATGTTTTTTACGATGAGGGTGGTGAAACACTGGAGCAGATTGCCCAGAGAGGTGGTAGATGCCCCATCCCTGGAAACATTCAAGGTCAGGTCAGATGGCTCTGAGCAACCTGATCTAGTTGAAGATGTCCCTGCTTACTGCAGAGGGGTGACCTTTTAAAGGTCCCTTCCAACCCCAACTATTCTACGATTCTGTGATTTTAAACCTGGGACGAAAGAAGCGGTGCAATAGCACAGGAACCTTTAAGCAGCCTGGGAGGCATGAATATTGCTGGGAGGCTGTGGTAGCTATGGTGTGCAGATGTATTTTGGCAATACCTGTGTGCGCTGCTGTAGACAGAGCCTGCTTGTTTCTGCTTTGGGCCCCTCTCGAGCAGAGATTGTCAGGCCCTTTGAAGTGTTTAAGGGGTTTGATTTATTCAGATCAAAGAGGGTTTAGCCTGTAAACTCTGAGACTAAAGTTGGGGCTGGTTGTAGCTGAAATGAGGAATTCTGCTAATCATTACACTGCTAACAGAGGATTTGCTCTCTCTAATGTGCTGCTTTTTTCTAGACAGTGCATCAAAAATGTTTCTCTGGTTAATTGCTTATGGGGGGAAAACAGAGAGATTCCACTGCGGTATTCATCTTCTGCTGAATTCCTGTGGTTCTTTTCTTCCCTCTCTGACATTTTTGCATGCTATTAAAGGCCCTGATAAAGATAGGGTGCCTCAGAAAGCAAGATTAATTGACTGTTCAGCCACTACCATTAGAGATGGGACACAGCAAATACTGTGTTCGTTTGGTGTATTTATACTGCTCCTTCCCTTTTGTATTGTCCTGTGCCCCTCTCAGGGAGGACAGCTGGTTGGACATGGTACAATATTGTCTGATATGACAAGAAATAAGCTTACTTGGGAACTCTGGTTCCTGGTTCACGGAGGACCATGCAGTGGAATAGAATTGCTTCAATAGATTTTCTCTGGGTTGTTCAAGATCGAATGTCCATCATTTTAATTCAGAACAGCATGCAGCCTCTCGTCTGTCCCAGAGAGCATTTTCCCCAACTTTTTTTTTTTTCGGTCTGTGTGATTTTTGGCTGGTTGAAACATGCAATTGGCCTGTTTGAGACCTGTCACACAAAATAGCTACAAGTTGAATTTTTTTTGCTCTTTCCCCTACTGTTCACAGTAAGACTTAACATGCTGCCTGGGTTGACATATGCAATCTGTTACTTTTCTAGGTTGGTCCCGGTGAGTGCTCACGCAGCGTTTGACAAGGCAGCACACTACTTTGGACTGAAGTTGATTCACATACCGTTGACCAAGGCTATGGAAGTGGATGTTCAGCTATCGCTTTAGGCAGCATAACACTCTTTTTGTGGGAAATTCACATTGTACAGCAAATCACAAGAAATCTGCCTATCCAGGTAGGAAGTCAGTGGATAGAGAGAGGGGAATGCTTCCTGGAAATAAGGAGAAACAGCAGGAGTAAGTGCCTGTCATTGCAGATGCAGTTTTGTTTGAAATAATTGGATGCAAATCATCCCTTTGTCTCTGTGTGATTCATTTAGAATCAAATAATTTATATGTTTCAGAAATAGCCCCAGATTGCAGATGAGGGTGAACAAAAGTGTTCTAGTATTTCCAGGTGGATGAGTTAAATGACTCAGTTGACTCTGCTGATGGTTGTAGCTTATTGCTTTGCTTTCTGTAGGCTTTTGTGTGTTGGTTTTTAAGGTGGGATGCTGCATGTTTTCACTTTCTATCTCTTTTGGAAGGGTGGCACTTGATAAATGGAATATGAGCATCTTCTCTCTTTCAATCTTCAGGCAATGAGGAGAGCTATCTCGAAGAACACAGCTATGCTGGTCTGTTCCGCTCCCCAGTTCCCGCATGGAATTATGGACCCGATTGAAGAGGTGGCAGAGGTAAAGTGCCCCTGGGACTTCTGGGTGCTGTAGCAATAAAACCAGCATGTCCTTCTATACAAGAAAAGCAGAGAGGTTCTGGGATGTGAACCAGTGAATCTGGTGGCAGGAGCAGACTGGTTGCAGGGGTATTACTATCCTCACATTAGGTGTTAACCAACAGCAGGGTATGTAGGACACAATTTAGAAGTGAGGAGGAATATGGGACTGTTTTTTTGCACTCTAACTGCTGTGAGAAGGTAGGCTTTGAATATCAGAAGTTACCTCTGGGCATTGTCATAAAGCTGTTTGTGTCTGAACTCTCAAGTCTATATCATAAACTTCTGCTGTAACTGAAGGTATGTGTATTGTGTATGTGACTTGAAGCTCAGCAGCATCCACTGCGAGACCAACCAGAAGGGCTCTCGTTCTTTGATATCTGAGAAGAAATAACAGCAAAATAGTCCGCCTGGTAAAAAGGCTTTGATTGAGGGCCTACTGGTTGTAGCAAATCTGGTGCAGGAGTCAAAGGGCTGGGATCTTATTTTTCAAACACACCTCTTGATTTTTCTCTCTGTGCTCCAGTTATTTATTTTGCGTGTAACCAGCCAGGGCCTCTGACCTTCTTTTCATTTGGATTACGCCGTGACACTTTATTGCAGATACTCCTTTCAGACCAAGTTGTCACATCTCTTTGGCAACTACAGCAAATTGCCAAAATATGATGTTGTTTTTCCTCTTGCTGGCAATTTTCAAATATGTGGAAAGCAGGAGAAGGCATCCCACAAGTAGCCAGCCCTTCCAGATCTCGTATCCTCAGCAGCTTGAGCGTGGCATGATGCTCCAAAAGGGTCCAGGAAACATTTAATTGTGAAATGCAGAGTACCTTTTGGTGACTGGAGTTTGTGTGCCTCGACCAGATTGTTTTCTTGCCTGATTGCATGTTACTCACCAGAATCTCTTATTCACACACAGCTTGCGGTGAAGCACAAAATCCCCTGCCATGTTGATGCGTGCCTGGGTGGTTTTCTCATTGCTTTCATGGACAAGGCAGGGTTTCCTCTAAAGCATCCCTTTGACTTCCGTGTAAAAGGTGTGACTAGCATTTCTGCTGATACCCACAAGGTAAGAAGGAGGGCAGATAGGTCTTCTAATGCTTTAATTTCTGGGGAGCAATTCCCAATGCTACCCATATCTTCAGACATTTCTGCTCTGCGATGTGGAGGAGTGCTGAAGCGCAGGGGTAAGGGCTGACCTATTCAGATGCTTTGTGCAATGCGCCAAAGTATGGGCAAGTGGGATCTTGGTGACTGCATGCAGTAAGTGCTTGAATGCATTCCTGTGCTCTCCTGCTGCTTTTTAATGCTTTCTGTGCCCCTTGCAGTATGGCTACGCTCCCAAGGGCTCCTCAGTGGTGCTGTACAGCGACAAGAAGTACAGGAGCTACCAGTTCTTTGTAGCACCCGACTGGCAAGGGGGCATATACGCCTCCCCCTCCATGGCAGGCTCCAGGCCTGGTGGAATCATAGCTGCGTGCTGGGCAACCCTGATGCACATAGGGGAATCGGGCTACATTGAGGCTACGAAGAGGATCATTAAAACGGCTCGTTTCCTCGAATCAGAGTACGTGTGTGCCTTAGCATTTTGATCACACTCTTTAACACCGTTCTAGACACCTTCTCCCAAACTGCTTTTATTTCTCTTGCAACTTTTTTTCCATTCCCTGGAGAAGCTATAGCATGTTCCCTTGTGTAGCTTTTCCTTTAAGGCTCCAGATAGATGGACAGAATGTCTGACCCCTGTAACCCTGGTCAGTCACTTCTTTTTTCCTTTTTAAGGCTAAGAAAAATGGATGGCATCTTCATTTTTGGGAAACCTGAGGTGTCTGTCCTCTCCATCGGTTCAGACACTTTTGACATTTATCGACTATCTAATTTCTTAGCGGCAAAAGGATGGAACTTGAACGCCCTACAGTTCCCATCAAGGTGAGTTTGTGGAGACCAGTGGAGTGATGTGCATAGCCAGGGTATGCAAGATGGTCATCTTCAGGCCACATAGCTCTCTTGATTTGCTGACTGGTGTTGTCCACATCTGACAAATTGCATGTAGACTTTTCCCCCTGCAGAGAGGGAATTACTTTTGTAATTGCTGATGTATAGCAGTTACTGCAGTGGGGTTAAGGCAGCAGTAATTTTAATGAGCCTGGCAGAGGACATATCTGAGGCTCCCCCTCTGTTTACCTCTGTATAACATAAGCAGTAAAATATAAATAGTCAGGGCTTTATCTCACGTTAGTTAACTGAGGGTTTGTAGATTTATTTATTTATTTTTAGTATCTTCTTTCTGCCCAGTGAAGATGAAGGTAATTGAGAGAACGGTGAAGGGCTGATCATTTTCAGTGACCTTTCCAGCCTGGTGCGAAATGAATGTTTGTCAGAGTTAAGTCCTTGAGTGGGTACTTGTTTTTCTCTGGGTAAAAGGGGCAAATGCTCTTAAATGTAGCTGCACTGAAAAAATTTTGGATTTGCAGTTAGCATGAAGCCATGTTTAGAGAGCCTGAAGTGATAGCTCGGAGATGCGAGTAGCCCTGTTGCTTTTGGTGGATGCTAACTTCCTTGCCGTGGGTGGCCGATGGCTTATCTAAGCTGTAGAGGATGGGGAGGGAAGTGATGGCAAGGATCACCATGCTTGCAGACAGCTGCATTTTTCTCACCAGAGGTACCTGGAATGAGGTGAGAAAATTAGAGGCCTTTAACCATGTATGATGAAGTCAGGAAGGAAGGAGGAGTTGGCTGTTTTGCAAAAGAGGAGCTTGGTTCTAGCAAGTATTTTGCAGGGCTTACCTTTAATTGGAAGGGAGTGGATTGTCATCTCCCTTTATGCGGCTGAAACGCTATTTCAAGGAGATAGACAGTTGTCACTGGCCAGTGAAGGACTGGATTCTGTTTTTTGCTCAGAAAATGTGGAGCTGTACATACTTGAGATGGGTAATCTCTCCCCTTTCCCCTGCCTGCCCAGCATTCATCTCTGCATTACGCAGTTGCACACAAAGTCTGGTGTTGCTGAACAGTTCCTGAAAGATGTCAAAGACAGCATTGAGGAGATCATGAAGGACCTCAACGCCAAGACCACGGGCATGGTAAGGAGGCTAGCACATAGTGAGGGTGCGTTTGGGGTAAGCGTGTTTCTCTGATGGCATTAATGATCTTATGTAACAACCTCCTCTTCTCTGCTTAGGGAGCCATCTATGGAATGGCCCAGTCCGTCCCAGACAGAAGCTTGGTAGCGGAGATTTCTCAGGCGTACTTGGATGGCCTCTACAGCACGGATGTTCCTTGCAGTGAAAAGCACATGAACGGCTCTCCCGGCCACCACTGACTGTAGCGCAACAATCGGTGCCTTGCCAGCTAGCACTGGGTGGTTCTAGAGGTTTCGTAGGGGAAGAGATTGCAGTAAGCCTTTGTTCTTACAATTGCAGGTCTGATGGTGGCTTGATCTTGAAAACTTCCTTCCCCATCTTAGTCTGTTCTGAAATCCGCATTATTTTCATACCCAGCTTTAGTTTAAGGGCTTTTCTTGCCTTCCCCCTGCCTCTCTTCATCATGACTGTTGATGGTGAATTGAATATCCATTCCACAACTCCAGATTCCTCAGGTATTCTGCGTGTCACTTCATTCCTTGCTGTTTCTTCTCCTCAGACCTGGTATTCAGTCGGTGTCCAGCCAAGTGTTAGATTTGAGTTCTCATGTTGTGTTCCAAAGCTTCAATCTTCTCAGAAGTTGAAGGCAGAAAATAAATGGAATATTTTGTTTTCTTATTTCTCCAAGCTACTGCATTTAACAGACTTTGCTGGGAGCCTTATATCTATGTAATGCAGAGCCGACAAATTGGCAAAGGAAAGATGGTCATGTACTCTTTTTGAAATCCCCTCTGGAGATCTCGGTGAGACTGCAATCATTATCTGCTGAGGGGAAAAAAACCCAACACAAAAACCTCTTCTGGAATCTCTTGGTTTGAATAACAGCAGAAATAGAAACCAAGCAGGTGGTGTAGGGAGAGGAACTGGATGGTACTGAAAATCCTAGGTACACAGTAACTGTTTTGCTTCCCTGCCTCTTCTAGAAGACATGCATTTACCACCTAGAGTGCTCGTTGTACCTTGCACAACTCTGGAGGGATGTGCAAAACAGTCATTTCACTGTTGATAACTTGAAGGCTTTGCACTATCTCACCATGCTGTAGCAGAGTCAGTCAGGCCATGGTGTGTCATGGCTAGGGACTTCACGTGCAAACGGATGGCGCCAAAGCTGACCTTTTTTTACCATGATCTTTTAGTATAAAAAGGTGACTTTTGTGATAGTAGTAATCTCTGCTCTTTGCACTGATTCTTTTAAGGCACATTCTCAAAAGGGCATTCACCATTGTGCCTTGATGCTTCTCTGGCTTTTTTTGTGGGATGCCAGGAGGGTTCAGCTGTCGACTGCAGCGTTCGCTGCGGTCATTTCCTTATGGTACTATACTGAAAAAAACCTCAAAGGCAGACTGGCCTCAGAGACAGTATGCTTGCGTACAAAGTAGAATAGTGGTTGTACTGAGCCAAGTCCCCTTTACAGTGTTACAAAGATGCTGGTATAGCTCTGAGAGATAGATGATAGCATGCAGCAAGTTGGAGGCATTCAAGCCTTGGGCATATGGCTCACCCTTCCATTTTTTTCCGCTGTTTTTACAGTGAGAGAGTTTTTCCAGTGCAACTTGTGAGGCAGTTGTGGCCTGAAGGACAAACTAGGATCTCTTGAGTTATTAAACAGTGGTGGAGTTATTCCTGCAGGGCTTTCCCGTGTGTTTTCTCTCAGCTTTTTGCATGCCACGGAGAGTTTCCCAGGCAGAGTTCAACGCTTGGGAGAAGACTTTGTGCCAGGTCTGCAGTCTTGTGCAGGGACATTGGAAGGTGACCGTCTCTGCTGTAGTGGGCTTGTTAGCATGAAGCTGACCCTCGCTGGCTTAACACAGCTGAAGCATACACTTGCACAATAATTATACCGAATGAGAAGGTTACTTACCAGCCGCTGCACAAACCACTGCAGCCTTGGGCCCAGAGATTGTGGGAAGAATACTTGCTTTTTAACAGGTTTATTCTCAGTGCTAGGAGACAAAGTATTTTGGCCATCTGCCCTTAAATCAATGACTTATGCATGTGTCTCAGCCCTTTTGAAAACATTGCATTTGAATTGCATGGTAGTCTTGATTGTGTTACCAGCTCTGGCAGTCAGCATTTGTGTTGGACCTATTTATTCTGTTAATGTCTCTTACCAATGTGAGCATTACTGCATCTCTGAGTTTTTGCTGTACTTTGGAGACAGTCTTAAGTGTCTGGCTACTGTGATGGTTCTCTTCTGAACCGAGATTTAAAAAAGAAAAAAAAAGGGTAGTACTCTTTTTGTTCTGCTTTAAAAGAAAGAGGGGATGGATTGGGGTAGGGTGAAGGAGAGGGAAACTTCCTTCTCTTCCCCGGCTGCATTCTCCTCCGAGGAAGCAGATAGATCTAACAGATCAGTGCTCCATTTCACATTTCTGGATGTATTTGAAGGTGTTATTTGTAAGTCAATGTATTCCATTCTGGGCTTCACTTACTAGTAATATTTGTGGGTTTAATTATTTTATGTGCATTTGTTCTGTACTGTAAATGCAATCTTCTGGTCAGGAATAGGCCACTGTAATTTACCAATGTGTAGTCTTTATTCATCCTTGTCATCTAACATGTAATCTGCATCTCCTTTATCATGCTAAATGGTCTTAGAAAAATGGTGTGATTAACAGGCTGTATAATTATTTAAAAGACAAAAAAGAAGAATTTTATGGACTGGATTATGATCTGAAACTGGATGGTACTTCAGACCTGGAGGGATCTTAGTGACTATTAATTCCTGCGAGGTTTCTGACTGCCAGGTTTTCCAAGCAAGACTCTAAATTTATTGCTTGTACAAAGCACTCAAAAGGGATTTGCGTGCTCTTAAGGTACTAGACTGAAGAATATCCAATGGGATGGACCAAGAAGAGATGTGTGTCTTCATGCCATGGATTTCATCTGCACTTTTCTGATGACTTGGAGGGAGGAGTGGAAGGGTTGTGTACAACACAATAATATCTTGCCCAATAAATACACATTGACTTTTTAATGAACAAATGGGACGAGTTCATCTCATGGCAATATTCTATATTGCTCTAATTTGCCACTGTAAAACTGTAGGCTGAAATAGCTGAAGAGATGGTGAAAATGGGCCTAGTTTGTATTAAAATGGTGCATTTAGCTATCTGGGCTCATTGAACTCTTATTTTTCTGTTTCAGTGCTCATTTGAATGAATGGGGACCATTGCTCCTGATCTTTGCTCATGCACAGCCTAGTCTGTGGCAGGGAGAAAGGTTTATGAATCTTACTCTGCCCAAGGGCTGCTCTTTCATTCTTTCAAGATAAAGGTGGTGTCTGTGGCTACATCTTGCACGTGATGTTCAAGGAAGCTGAAAGTTGTCATTTAAGAGCTATGGATTTTCTCATAATACTTTATAGAGCTTTAAAGGGTTAAAAAAAACCCAAAAAAACCTGAATTGGGTGTTTGTAGTGTTTCTCCCAGGCTGTTTTGCTGAAAGGAGCTACTGTTGGTTTCACAGCAAATTGTTCCTGTTATACCAAAAACACAGCAATTTGGCTGCTGACTCATTGAATGTGGAGATCATTGTGTTACTGGAGTGAAGATCTTACACCACCTAATTCACCTACAACCTCTTTTGGGAGGTATTCCACCGTAAGCAGCCCCTGGCCCATTGCTGCACTGGTTTTGTGCGTTTTGGTTGTGCCTTCCCTGTGTTTGTGCCTTGGCTATGGTACACTTCTGATTTTTAGCACAAGCAGTTTTTTATCTGATCTGCTCTGGCTGTGCTATCTCATTCTCTTTCAGACCCCGTTCACTTTGAGGTGCAGGCCTGTGAAGGCACGTGCCACTTCTCTGCATTGCTTCGTCAAGAAGCTTTTCCATGACAGAAGCACCTTCTTGAGAGCAGTCAGGCCAGTACCTGCCTTGGGAAAACCTGTTGGTGTAATTTGACAGTGAGGCCTCCTTGCAAACTGACATCAGGTTAACCAAGACCTTTATTGTAAACATTTTCAGTTGCAGTAGGGGTGAGATCACATGCCTGTTTATAATACTGCTAGAAAGAGGTTACAGTAATAACCAAATTGCACATCATGGTTGCTGGTATGGTACAGAGAAACCAAAGGGTTCACGTACCACGTTTTAGGCAGAAAGCATGTTCCAGTAGGTAAGAAGCAATAACACAGTGGCTGGATGGGGTCAGGCTCTGGAAACATTTACTGGTGCAATTGTGTAACATGACTCCTGGTAAGAGGGTAAGTCTGCTGAGAGCCCCAGAGGCTCAGCAGTTTGCGGGCTGGTAGCACACAGCTAACAACGGGTTTAAGAATGGAAGTGGCAAGAGCAGAGATGGATATATGCACAGTGCCCAAGAAGTGCCTCCATCCACCTGAGCTGCAGTGGGGAGTTTGGCATGGCGTTAGGCACTCTGGATCCAGGAACTAGCTTGGGAGTGGGAGAAGGCTCTAGGTGCAGCTGTACAGGCAAGAGGCGGGTTGTGGCAGCGGCAGAGATGATTTTTGGCTTCACGTGTGTGTCTCTAATCAGGAGAGAGAAGCTGCAACCTGCTCGATGAAGCTGGCCAAGTTGATGTCTCGCTCCGATAAGCCTCCACACTCATGGGTGCTCAAGGTGATGTGAACCTAAACCAGACAGACAGACCGACCAAGTGTTGCTGGCAGAAAGAGCAGGAACGGTTTCCCCCAGTGCTGCAGACAGTTCGCATCTGATGAGGCAGGTAGCACTATTACTTTCTCCAGACTTGTTCACAAAATTGCCCTGGGGTGGGAGAGGTGGTCTGGCATTTTGCCTGGTTTGCTCCTTCCTACAGCTCGTCCTGGCCACAAGCTGTTACTGCCACCCCTGCCTTGGTCACAGCAGCCAGCTCTGCCCGCTTTTCAACTCGCTCTTTCTCCAGAAGCTTTTCCCCTTGCTGCTACTTCTGATACTGATTTTAAAAAGCAACCCTGGTGCCAGCCTACAGGCAGCTACTGCTCAGCTGGACAGGTAAAAAAAGGGGGGGGAGGAAAGGACCTGTAGGTGACAGCTGTAGGCTGTCTGTGATATGCTAAGGGAATAGCGTCTGAGGAGAGAGGTCCCACTGATCTGAACCGGCACTTGCTGCTGCTGTTTTGTGCCTCACAAGAGGGATGTGTTCCCTGAATAGCTCTGGTTGCCCCCACCATCCCACTTTCTTACCTTATTGTACACATTGAACCATTCAGGGTGGTGATCCAGTTTTTCTGCCTGTAGAGCCACTCTAGTCATGAAGCCAAAGGCCTGCTCAGTGAAGTAAGAAGAAAAGTTAGCTCTAAACCACTTACCCTGTGATAGATTGGTTTTCACCCCATTGCTACTACTATTACACCATGTGTTTCTAAGTAACCCAACCAAATGCAAGGTCTGGGATGTTCTGCATCTTTGTTGAGGTTTTCTATGGGTTTGTCTCTTTTTGGGGAGCTTTTCCCAGACAAACGATGTGATGGGTCAAGCACTTTCCTGTCTTGGGCAGGTTATCTTGCTCAGCCATTGCATCTCAGGAGAAACACGCAGAGATCTCTCTGGCTGAGCCTTGCAGATGGGACTCCCTGTTCTGCAAACCACGTCTCCCGCATTGTGAAACTCAGTACCACCCATGCTCATACCCGGTTGAAGTCCTTGAAGTGGAACTCTTTGAAGATGGCGTCTCTGCCTTCCACCTCGTTCCACCCCACAGCTCTCAGGTTTGGCAGCAGCTGCTCCCTCTCCTCCGCGCTCAGCCTGTGGGCTTTTCCTGCCTGACACCGCAGAAAGGGAAGGGAAGAGGGAGCAGATCAGTGGGCAGAGGTAGGATGAAGATGTTCAAAGCAGTGAGGCATCCCATGGGTCATGGAGTTATGGGTCCATAGAGGCAGCTTCAGACTGGGTGGAAGGGTTAGAGTGTGTGTGCGGACCTGAATTGGGGGGTGCTAATGATACCAGTGCTGTCCTCTGCTCCCTGCCCTGGGTACATCCTATGTGTGCCGAGGTCAAGTGAAGTCCAGCTTGTTGCTTTTTTCCTCTGACCTGTAACACCTACCACTTTACCAGTGTATATATGTATTCATTATAACCTGAGGTACTAAGGAGTGATGGCTGTGTGAGGTTAAGCTCCCAAATACATTACATATAATTTTATGGAAAAAAAAACCCCGAAACTCTGTGATAGCTTCTAGAGCTGAGAATTGCTTGCTTTTGAGGTTTGTGAAGTACTGTCCCAAAGCAGGAGGGCTTTATTTGCAGGTCATCTGCCCTGGAAGCCTGCTTTAAAGCAGAAAGAAGTGGTGTGCATCAGACAGGTGAGTCACACTAAATTGGAGTTCAGCTCCTTTTCAATCTCCCTTATGTTACGATGCAGTTTAAGAGGCTGTTTCTGTCTGTGAGTAACAAAGGGCAGAGGGACAGATTGTGATTTAGCATTGTCTTCCCGTCTTGGGCAGAGCTGCTGTTATTTGTTTTTTAAGGGGGGGAAGCAGCAGTTCTTGGCTTTAGGGAGTGAATATGGGCAAAGATGAAACTAAAATGGAGTTCTTGGGGATGGGGGTTACCTGAGCCAGTGTATTGTCTGGCTCAGTGGGAAGGCAGGAGTGAGTGCGGAGGGGTATTGCTCTATCTGAAAGGTCATGCTCTGGCAATTAAAATTCTTTCCTAGTGGGTGATCTGATCTTTTGAGTGTATGAGGATTGTTGTTTCTCCATGACAAAGACCAACATCTCTTTGCAATTTGTTTTCCTTTATGTACTGTAAGCCAAGTGTGGCAAGTTAGGCATGAGTCCCAACAAATACAGCCTGCTGTTTCTTGTGGGTGTTTGCTCAGCTGTTTAAGATGCTACTTCTGAGCAACCATGCCCAAGCAAAACGTCTCAAGGGGCTGCTGACTGAAGAATTGTCCTTTCCTGTAGTTCACCTACTCACAAGCTGTACAAAACCAGAGGCAGCCACGGAGCTGATGTTTCTGTGGGTTATTCTTTGGTTTTGCATGTTTTGAGGACAACTGGAAAGATTATGCCTTATTCTTGTGTTACTGGGTCTGCTAAGCCATCAGGCCGTGTGGGTCACTACCTGTCTGCGCAGCCGTGACACTTACACTTAGCAGAAGCTGTCAGCTGCAGAGCACTTCATGCAGAGAGTGCCGAGGTGCGTGCTGAACCTTAGCTTGGGGGTGGCCGGGGGGTGGGATGGTTCCCATCCCCCTGACACTGCGCCTGCACACTCTCCCTCTTGCACAACGTTTGGGGAAAGTCTTCCTCGCCCGTGCATGCTCTGGCCTTGCTGCCAGCATGCAAACCACCTGTACCACCCTGCAGTCTGTGCGGCGTTTTGGGTGGCCCCCTGCCAGCCTGGGCCTCACCACCCCCCCCTGCCCTGCTAATGTCAACCCCGTTCCCTTCCTGAGCTCTGGGTTTGGAGGGAGGGTAGTGAGTAAACACGGCTCAGCGCAATAAACCCTCAGCTGTTTCCCTTCCACGCTGATGGCGTGATAAGCCGGGCACGGGTAGCTTAGCAACTGGATAACGTGGGGACGGAGGCCAGCTCTGCAGGGGGGCAGCCGGGGCGGCTGCCCTGGGGGGCTCCCCTGGGCACAGGGTAGGGGCTGAAAGCCTGATCCTAAAGAGAGGAAAGGCTGTGGAAAGCTGGAGCTGTTGCTCCCAGGAGCAGAGGGGTATGGATGCAGGGGGCTGGGTGCCAAGCCAGCCTCCCCCGGGCAGAGCCAGAAACCAGGCTGCCTGGGAGAGATGTGGCTTAATTGTCCTCTGAACCTCTTCTGTGTTGCCACAACATGAGAGGACGGGCCCTGGGGCTGTTTCCAGGCCCAGCTGCTCTCAGAGCCCAGCGCCAGGCTGAGGTCTGGCCAGCAGACCACACGCAAGCCAGCTCCTCTGGCTGTGTCGCGTGGTGGCAAACCCTCTGCCCCAGCACCCTCCGTGCCCTCCACTGCACTGCCTTCCCCTCCCTCCTCCTCCACCCAGCGCATCGGCCAGCCTGCTGGGTTTGTCAGCATGGCCCGGTAATTCTTTC